GCAGGAGACCCTGCTGTATACACCGAATGCACTGAAGTGGTTTAGAATTGAAATATGCTAGAAAGAACGTCCAGTTAATTATGATAATGGATGTGTGAGGAGGAGGCAGTGGTTTAAAATCACTGATTTGCATGGTATAATGATGCAAAATGATGGGAATATAGTGCATTTTACACGAGAAAACAGTACCCTACAGCACCAAACCCATATAATGCCACCTACATGTGCCCCACAATGTGTATAGAGAAGATAACCATCGGGATCACCACTGGCACGTAGGACCGCATTTGAAAGGCTTATCCTATTCGAATGTTCTACCCCAGAGTAGCTAGTCATCTCATTACCCTGCTCATTGTACTCAATATCTTCTAAGGACTAGTGAAGGGCGTCTGGAAGGGTCCATGAGTCGTAGCAATGAATTAATCCAATTGAGTGACAATTGCTGCACATTAAGTGAGGGACAAGACTCATTGAGTGAATCCACCTCGGCGCATGAAGCATTGCCATGGTGGCTACATGGAGCACTGCTTTCCAGTAGCACGCATGTTCCCTGTCTTCAAACGACTGTTTGCCATGTAGTCATTACCACCTCCTTGGCTTCAATTGCAACTGAAAACTACTTCCAGTAGTAAAGCTTCTGTTTACATATTTGACGTCTCCTTTAGTATATGTCTCCAGCAGCATGAGAGATGCTGACGCTAATAAACGCACACTTCGACCAACTTGACACATCCCAAGTGATTACACAATCAAACGATCGCATCGGTATGCATACAGTTAAGTAAAACCAATGGGTGGTGATGGAAATTCATGGAACCACGGTGCGTGGACGCCCTACACAACTGGAGGAGCGAATAATCCACCATAACTGCCGCTTGGAGTGAAGGAGTTGCATTCCCACATAGACCTGGACTTTCCTCTCACAGGTGCCATTGCATGTGTTTCTGGGCAGAGCTTGGTGGCAACTGTAGAGGAGAAGTGGTGGGATGTTAACAAGACCGGCATGGATGGAATGGTGTGCGGCCAAGTTGGTAGCTGCAAGATGTAGGCGGTCAAGTGCACTCACACAAATGAGACATCGTTTTGGCATTTGATGCTTCAGCTCAGATGGAAGGTAAATGTGAGGAAAGCAACTTGTTGATGAGGATTGATGAATTGATGTGGTGTAGGAACTGGTAGACGTGCATCGACTGATCAACGCATACCGTGTAAACATCGAACCGAATCC